AATCAAACACCCTCCTTGAACATGAGGATTTATAACCCCTCCCAAAATCCTCTTTGAAAATAACCAACCCAATGTCAAAACCCTGGATGGAAGGTCACACTTTTCGTGCTATCTTCAATCCTTCTGACATCTTGGCCTCTATTATATATATAATGTGGCAAGGAGCTGTGCAAGTGAATTGGGCTCCCTGTAACTAATCTGAATTTCATGTTTCTTTTGCCTTTTTGGCTCTCCCTGTGTTCTATGATCAGTTAGGACAGAGAGCAATTTGTCAGCTCCCTCCTCCCCATCATTCACTACTTTCTGTACATTTCACATCAACCCTTTACATTTTTTTAAGTTACTGGTCTGTCATTCCTTCACCACAGGAAGCACAAGTTTAACCACTCCATCAATGCAATTACTGACTTGACAATGCTTCATTATGCCCTAAAGCAGAGAGGATCTATTTGTTCTGCAATAAAGCAGCTCTTAATTAGGCTATTGCTCCTCCTGTGTAAATATCTCATTTTGCCTCTGGATTGGGAAAGTTCACTCTATCTCTTGTTGTTTGGAAAAGGCCAAGTGGCACCGGACAGCAATCTTTCACTTTCTGGACACAATTAATGTGCTGATTACTTTGCTCATGCTTTTGACAAGTAGGTGATTTTTCTCTGATCAGACACTTAAAACTGCTGAATTTACTCTGCATTGCTTGGTAAGATGGGTCCAACTCTCCTCTTGGTTTTGCATGTTTAAATGGAAAGTCAACCCAACTTTTGCTTTGGATTCATGATGATACTACAAACTAAAAATCAAATTCTTTGACATGAGAACCCAAACACTGTTGCATAGACCTTATGGAAAGTGACAGAGCATTCTCACAGCATGCTTCATTTAATCTCAGAGAAAGGGTAATGCTGAGAAGAAATGGCAGAAACTGGTAGCTGTCACAAGGAAATTTTTGGCCAAGTTACATTAATGGCTGAATTTTGTGATGCCTGACATTTTGTCTTATTTCTAAAAACCTTTATTCCCTTTGGGTTCTCTTCAGTAACCAGATAATGTAAGCAGTGATAATGTTGATAAGTCTGAGAAAAAAGGCTCACTTTAGGTTTCATTGCCACTAGCTTTCTATAGAAAAAAATGAGATAACACTATATAGACATACCTATTACAAAGCAACTAAACATTACCAGACTCTCCTTTAAGGTAATTTTATTTTTAGTGATAAGTCAAACATTTTCTCTCTCTTTTTATCTGCCATATAGAAGTCCTTTGGCTCACTTTGTTAATCATTCACTCTTCAGCTTGTAGTTAATTGTTTACTAGCTGTTAAGCTGTTTGCACTAAAAAATGCCTTTGGGCTCTTAAATCAGTTGGGAATATCTCACTAGAACAACAGAGATATGCCTGGTGCTACTACTTGGGTGTGGATCTCACAGCTCCAGGCTACACTGCAGCTCTGTGTACAGCCTCTGGGGATGGAGTGGAGTCACATCCCTGTGTGCTGGTTAAAATGGACACGCACCACTCACAGACAAATGCTCACATTGGGCTGCTGCAGTGCCTTGGCTTTCTTTCTAGTTGCTCTGAAATTCAAGCAAGAAACCCTCTAATGACCCTTCACTGAAAATGATGGGCTTGGTCTTTTCACAAGAAAGCATTTGTAGAAGCTAAGTTTAACACAGAGGGAAATGGATTCTGTCCATTTCTGTCCACTTCACCCTGGAAGCTGTGAGCTGTTTCTACACAAATGACACTGGTTCTGCAAGCATCCAGAATGCCTCAGTATATGGTTGGCAGGACAGCAGCCATCTTTCCACAATTGATACTCCCTTCTTCTTGTTCAGCTGGAGCGTTGGATTTTGTGTAGTATACCAAAACTTTTTGCAATGACTTCGTACCCAAGAATGAACAGCCAGCAGATTATAACTCATAAGGACCAAATTTGCACTGCAACAGGCAAAGGGGAAGCCTTTCACAGGGCTTGTTGAGTCTGTGAGCTAGCCCTCAACAGACAGAAGAAAAAGGATGACACTCAAAGTGATGGATTTGGGTAGGTTCAGAGCTTGCACAAAATTCAAGTATAGGCAGGAAGGAACATAGAAATAGAAACACAGAGACACATTAGTCTCTGCAGTCTAGGTACAACTGCATTCCAGTTTAATAGGCCTGCATTCCCATCTGAACCACCCAGGACTAGGTGCCAGATACCCATCTCAGCTGCATCCCCAGTAATGCTGGAGAACTTGGTGCCTGAGTGAGAGCAGTGCAAGCAGGATGAGGTTCTGGCCCTGTGTCAGCCTAAATTCCCCTCTCCAGTCTCATCTAACTTGCTGACAAACCTGGTTAGTTTTCTAGAGACACATGGCTGATTTACTCCAGCAATTTAATGAAATCATGGTTTTGAGTGACTGCTAATGGGATTGCCCGAGATAGGTTCAGCTGCTTAGTGTGTGTTACAGTTTTACTCGCAAGCACAAGAAACATGGAAATCTATCTAGGATGACATATAGGAAAACATTACAATCTTCCTCATAAGACAAGCAAGGTTTTTATATGCACTTAATATAAATGTCTTGATTTCAGCTGGTTTCTTGCTAAAATTTTCTGCTTGTGTTTTTTCAAGGGAGACTTATTTTTCCATTCTAAGTTTTCAATTTGTTTCTGGCATCGGCAGTGTGCAGGAACAAAATATTAAAGACCAGAAAAGCCATAATCTCTTTCCTCCTCCCCCACTAATTTTACCTTGCAGAAAGTTCAGTAAAGTTTACCCCTCCCATTTGCTCAGCAAAGATTTGAACCAGCACATGCTGGTGCAGTGAAATGAATCAGATACTGTGGCAGGCTGCCCCCAGATACCAGGGTTATCAAGTGCAATTTTACAATCTAATTAGCAAGAGGATTAAACATTACGCCTCACCGAGGCAGTTGATCTGCTCTTGCCAGAGGGGTTTTACCACCTGTGTAGGGTAAGAAGCCTTTGACTTGCTCCACAGAAGGTAAAATCACTCCATGGAGAAATAAGGAAGCCTCAGCCACTCTGTCCAAGTCCCATCCGTGATTTAGGCTGTTCATTTTGGAATAGCTCTGCCAACAGATGGGGTTTGCAAGCATCATGTAGCAGAGAAATGCTCACCTAGGCTGTCTTTTCACTGCTGTGATCTCTGGATTGTGGCAATGGACAGATCCAGGCCTGGAAATTTCTGCTTTCTCTTCCCACCCAACCTTCCCTCACAGATAAATGACCACTTCTGCCACAGTTCTTAGTGGTTTATGCATAAGGCAGCACCATGTTTTTGGGTCTCCTGGATTTCATACATGATTTGCTGAGACCAAAAAAATAATTGCCAACAAAGAGAATACCAGCACCCTATTTTTTTTAGGGTTACACTTGGAGAAGAAGGATCAGAGATGCCTAAAGCCCCTGATTTGAAGTGCAGTGTGAGTGCTAGAGGTAGGCTAGTGGGGACACAGAGAGGCTGGTGAAGATTTAATCAAGCTCCAAAACCAGTGCAACAGAGTGGATCACCCTGAACAGCTGAGAAGAGAAAGTAGAAAAGCTGAGAAAGGAGGCTTGACCCGTCTGGTGGAAACGTGTCTCCTCTCATGCAGTCAGAGCACCTGTTCTGATGCTCTCCACCAACCCTTTCACCCCAAGAGGGATGACAATAATTGCTATAATGTGTGAAAAGCTGAGTCCTGTCATGGCAGGGCACTAATTTCTTCCAAAGAAATGTTTGTATTCCTGAGACTGAGTTCTGAAGGCATCTTTTAAGTACATGTCTTCCCTGGGGGGTTGGCACTGGTAGAGATATGTGGGTACAAACACCTAGCCTAGGCATGTTTTAAACTACCGTGTGTGAGGATGTCTTGCCCTGCAGGTAATGATTGATCCCAAATAAATGTGTCTCCTAGTCTTTGTGAAGACCTCCTTACTCTCTTTGTCCTTTCCTTTAATGAATAAAAGTCCCATTAATAGCCTAGAGTGAATAAAAGGCTATTTGATGCACCTACTGTCTCTTGCTGCCTCCTTAGCAGTTCAGTTTTCTACCAAAACCTTGACTCTAGTTCATTTTAATAGAAGATGCTTTCTGTAAGCACCAGGCAATGTCCACCTTGAATGTCACCAGAGGATGAGAAAGAAGAATTGGTACATAGACAATGCAAAGACAAATACAGAACTTAATTCACTGTGGAAGCTTTTGCATCCACAGAAGAGCTGCTCAGTTGCTCCAAATCATCCAGTTCTGCAGCCTATAAGCCAGCCTGAAGCCTTGCCTCCTGATGTCTCCACAACTGCAGATGTCTCTGCAGTGCAACAGACACTTTTGCTAACAGGCTCCATATTCCCACCTGCAGGGCAGGTGCTCAGGGATCAGGTTTTTTATACTAGATGGCATTCTAGTTGGGAAAATCAGAACACACGGGCCCCTCTCATAGGCTGAGCTCAAGAATCAAAACTTCCTTTTTTTAGGTATGTGTTGAAAATCAGCTTTCCCTGCTACCTTGACATTAACTCAACAGTTAGGAAAATTGTTCCTTATCAAATGTAATGCTGGTCCTGAGAAAATAATGCAATTTTCTTTTTGTAATAAATGGAAGCAGTTTTCCTGTCTCTTCATTCCTTTCTCTCTCAGATCATTTATGGCTTGACAATACAATATCAAGGGTTGGCTCAGCACCCCCAAACCACCATTGCCAGTGAATGGAAGGCCTCCAGCACCTGAGAGGATCAGGCCTTGAGTTCCCAACTATGTCTTACGAATCACACAATAAAGAAACGTAAATTGCAAGATTAAGTGACGCTTATTTCCTCCAAACTCCACAACTTTTAATAAATTATGAGCTACTTTTGTCCATTAATTCTTTGCAGACATTGAGACAAGTTTAGGAGAAAACAAACATCCTTCAAAAATCAGTTGAATCAATGCCAGCATTTGGTGTACATCACACACTTGACTCAAGCTTTGACATGTGTGGCAAGCCCAGACCTTGGTAGAAAAGCAAACACTTACCTTTCTTGGTTTCACTTTGTCATGGTAGTCATATTGAAAAATCCCCTTGTAGCTAAGTCCTAACCACCACGGAATTCCCTGCTTGTCCTGAAAGAGAAAACAGAGGGAGTTATATTGAATATGATGGGGAAATGCTGGAGATTTCCTGTGTTGTTGTTCAAGATGAAGAATTGTTTCTAAGTAATATCTTTGAATGGGTGTTGTTAAATTTCCCCCTGCTGAGTTCCCACAAGTCACAAAGCTCCATAGTGTTTAGAAGAGATCTGTTTCACTTTTGGCCATGACATATAAAACAATTTAAAATACATCACTTGTGATCAAGTTACTCAAAATGCTGTCAGGGGTGCTGAGGAGGTTTGACACGGTCCCTTGTGCAGTGGTGCATCCTCATTCTCTTCCCTGTAAATTATTCAGTCTGAACACTCAGAGATTGGAGAGGAAGGAAAGCGAATCACCCAGCTGACTTGAATTATGTGGAGGGATTTTAGCATTAGTCTTGAAAATGCAGCAGTAATGGGATCTGAGAGCTACCAAGTGATAAGGTCTGACAGGCTCGGACCCAACTGCTTTGTGTCTGAGTGTGCAATAAAATGTCCTTATGGAGTAATGGCTGATATCTGATCCCAGTCTCTGCAATTTACTGAGCTGAAGTCCTCAATGAAATTACATCTGTTCTGTTAATGTGATAGAGAATGGCAGGGTAAAACACAGCAAAACCAAACCCCCACATCAGGCAGAAGCAAACCCTATTATGTGCAATATTTGCTGCCTCATTGCTGCTCACTGCTGCTTATTGACCATGGGGAGCTCACTGGAATAGCTCTCAAGTCTGCAGGATAGAATGTCCAGCCCAATCCATTACATTTTTCTTGATCTAGAGTAGTCCAAGAGAACTGGATGCAAAGGGTGCTGGAGAGATCCTGTTCTCTGAGAAAAGATGAGGCTAATGATTTTTGCAAAATAATAATAACTTTATTATTACATCCTATTAGCAGGAACATACTAGAAACACATCTTCTGAGACAGGTACAGTCAGATATTTGTGTTTTCATAGTACCCCATGTGTACAAGACATTACAGATGTATGAAAAACCATATGATTTGTGCACAGAGATAATGATGAAACACATCAAAACTTCAGGGGTGATAAATGAGGGAATATGCTCTGGGGAATGTGGCTCTAGCTTTCTTTCTATGTCTATTGATTTCTCTACTTAAAAAAACCCAAACCTACACAGCTGGTCAGGCAGGGAAGTAATAATTATAATAATATGGGGCTAGAAATTTTGGTGATAAATCACTAGACAAAAGAAATTAGGAACTTCATGAATAGCTGCATGAAGTCCACACAGAAGTGGAGAGCTGTTTGGGGATGAGAATGTGCTACCTATCTCTAGAATACAAGATTGTTTAGGAATTAAAAAGATTTACAATCCATCTACACATGTCAGGGGAGCTACAGTATGCAGGTCATGGCTGGCCCTAAGTAGGTGTTCATGGATCTGCCATCTGGGAAAGATCTGACCTCTTGGAGCTACAAAAAGGATTGTCTGCCAGAGATGTGTCTGGCTTGTCCCTTTGGTGGTGGTTCACTGGCATTGCCATGCTGCTGACTGAGCTGAACACTCCAGCACAATAGGACTGCAAGAGTTTTATCTCCAAGAACAGGATTTTCCTCTTTGGAACTGTATTTACTAAACATGCACACACAGCTGAAATAAGTTTATCCTACCTCAGGAAGTGAAACGAGACTTTAGTAGCAGTGTATTGTATTCTGAGAGCAGGATGGCTGTTTGTACCTCTCTCCCTCCCTCTCCAGCAAGAGTTTAATTTGTGAAAGACCTTCTTGTAGCACGTACCTTTACTGCGTAATAATGCACTCCATATGTTGGGAGGGACTCTACAATGCTCATGTAACTGCAAAACAACACAGAAGAGAATAACACGTCTGAGAAGCTGAGAGGATGATCTGAAAAAAAACTTTGATAAATAAATAATTATGCCAAGAAATACTTTAAAATGAAACATTGCATGAGATGGGAGGCATAGTTACATATTGTATTTACAGTCCCGTAGAAACACTTCATAATGAAACAAAGGTCACAAAGAAATAATTCTTTTTTCACTTACTTTACAATTGCTTGACCTCTTGTCTGACCATTTAGTTTCTTGTAATGTTCAATGACTCGATCCTCACTGGAAAGGAAAAAAATTGGATGTTTTATGTAATGGCATTATCATGACTAAAAATCTTGTCAAAAGCTGAAGAGATGCTTCTGTTAACACAGCTACTGACTGATGGAATCAAAAGATGCCAAGCAAAACCATTAGATGAGGGGATTTGGTGCAGAACAGGGTAAATAAAGGGGGAGTCACAGACTGAGAATAAAAATGGTTTTCTAACAGTTGGGTCTCTGGAAGAACCCTTTTTCCTCACAAACATGGTACCTACTTGTACAGACTTTTCCCTCTCTGCATTCCTTTCCTTATCTACAAATGATACCCACAATACTACACTGAGGACAAACAGATTTGTGTTGGAGCTGCTCAAGATCTGCTTTGTCCTAACTGCTGTAACTTCTTTTCAAGCTCATCATGTCCTCTGAAAGATGGGCAGAACTGTCAGAAATTGGTGGCCAGTCATAGCCCTAAGACTGACAGATTTCTCCTCACTGCAACTGCATAACTGCAGGTACACTATTGGAAGTACTCTGGAGCAATCTCTCTCAGCAGGAATTCCTAGTGTACACAGAAGCACCAATAGCAGCAGTGACAGGGGATATTTCCAGGGCACTCAAACTTGAGTTTCTTTACTCCTAAAGTATTCATGTGCCTTTGCTTACTTTAGAGTTATACTAACTTGCACTCCCCCAGGCAAGTCCTGGCTAAGCACTGGGAGCTGGTATGAGCCAGGGCCCCTTTCCAACAGCTCCTTGGAGACTAAGATCATTTTATGTTGTAGAAAGACATGAACCATATCATCATGTGTTCCAAGGTGAACCATGGAGGCTGTTCCACACTAGTGGGCCTCTGTGTCAGACAACAATTCTGAGTGTGTGCCAATAAGCAGTAGAGATGGAGCATCCAAGAGAGATCAGCATGGCCCAAATGACAGGTTGAAAGACACATGTAAGTTCACTTTTAAAGAATTTCACTCATTCTTTGCCAGTGAATGGGCAGCAGAGCTATTTGATGCATACAATCAGCTGTGCCAGCAAGGTCACAGCATGGCAAAGCCGAGGATGCAATGTAATGTACACAGGACCTGCTCTGCTACACTAGCATGACAAAACACTGAAGTCCTCAGGTTTAAAACTAATTTATTGCTTTTTGTATTTTATTTTTGATTCTCAAGGACAGGGAATCTGTTGAGTGGCCTGGAGATACTGTACAGAACTTGCCAGACCAAGAGGAGGGAAACCTAAACTACCTTCATGCCACCTTAGTGCCCTCCCCACCTGGCCCTGCATGAGCTTCCATCCGTGTCGTGTGTCTATCCCATGCCACCAGGCTGCATGTGGTTTAGGGCAATGTGAACTGGCATTCCTCCCTCCCTGCATTTCCTGGATCCAGCAGGACCCCCTAATGAGGCCTTTCAGCTGTCCACCGTGTGGTAATCCTTGCCCAGGCAGAACTGAAGCCAGTTGTATTGCTAGGCAGTGTGAAGGAGCACAGCAGGGTGGGATGATGGTAGATGACTTCACCACGGCTGCTCAGAGATGCAGCCCATGGGGGCTTTTGTGGAGGACTGCAAAGCATTTCACCATCCCAGCTTAACATGACTGCATCTCCTTCTCATTGCTGCCTTCCCTATTTGTACCCCTGTGCCAGAGAAGACAGAATCTCTTTTAGAAAGAGAGCCAGAATCTCCAGAGCCACAACAGCTTTTAGAAAGAAGAGCCGCAGGGAAGCTGAGGATTGTGCAGCCCTAATAACGAAGAGAGAAAGGAGAATCAGAAACATCAGTGAAGGCAGCAAAGAACAATTCAGAGACAGTGTCAGATTGTCAGCAGGGCCAGCTTTTCCCTCACAAGCCTGCTGTTTATCTGGGAGGTTATTTAACTGCTTTCCTTACTCGCAAAGTGGCTTCCCCCATTCCCCCTACAAAAATAAAAGAGCCCTTTTCAGAGCTGTCCCATCAGCAGGCCACAGCAGGAACAGGGTGGTGACTGAGCCAGTGACACATTGCATGGGTAAAAGAATGGTCCAGCTCTCCCATCAAATCCCTCAGAATCATTTTAATGCTTAGAAAATGATCTCTAAATTCTACAGCTATGAAACAATATTCAGCACACTGATCCGAGCAAGTACCACAGATGTTATGGGTGTGCACATGAAGGCAGAGTCTGGGTCTCCTGCCATGATTATCATAAACAGGATTACTTTTGGAGCAATAACTGAATTACATGAGTGTTCAGTATTGGAAGACCTCCAAAAAACATCATTCTTAATAAAAAAGATAGACAGAGAGGGCTTACAGCTCTTTGAAATTACCTCTTAAAACCATGATTACATGTGGATGCAATTCCTCTGTCTCAGACAGGAAAAAACCAGGAGTGACTTCTCAGAAAATAATGGAGTTTCTCCAGTGGAAAATACTCCTAGCTTTATTTTCCACTCTATGCAGTTATTGCACAGATCAAGCTCTCATATTGCTGCCATTCAAGGAAAGAGTAGATGTACCTGGACATGCTGATTACTTAATGTGATTCCGGATGTGCTCTGCTTTCTTACAAATTATTATTATAAAACAATTGATATGTTCCTAGACCATACTCCTTGGGTAGGGAAGCCAATTGATGGCCCATTTCCTTCAAAAGGACAAACCAGATGTCAGGGAGCCTTCCTGAATAGCAGGACAAAGAGTTGTGTTTTGAACCCATGCTAGAAATATGGGAGAGTCCAGGCTCTACCCAGTTCTTCTAAGCAAATGCAGGCAATACTATACCCCCATTGTTCTATTAGGGTACTGATGATTTTTCTTAGTAAAATGTTTTGTGGTCTACTGATGTTAAGTGCCAGGCAAGTATCACCTTTGTTTCTTCTTTCCTTTGAACAAAAAATATAAAGCCTGAAATATCAATAAAGCCATATTTAGGAGTGGGATCTGTGGCCTTTCACCTTCCTGCAGCACTGGCCTTGTCACTGGGGAAAGAAATATGTACTCCAGAGTACAATTCATCCAATCTATTTTGGACAGATTCCTTGGGAGGAGGTTACTGCTGCTTCTCTCTCCTGACAGCAAAGGGAGCTGAGGGCACCTAGATCAGATAGCAATGTCCACTCTGGAAAAACATTCACAGTCAGAACAATCAGTGTGACATCCCTCCTCTAACAATTATCTGGACTTCCTTTTCCTTCTACTGCCCTGTGCAAGAAGGATCATCCAGCACAGAGGTTGCTTTCTGCCTCCAGCTCTGGGTTGGAGGGTTAAGCCCAACACATGCCAGGGAAAACAAGCAAAATCATTCACGGGTCAGAAGGAGCATTAGCAGAGCCTATAAACATGCTCCCTATCATTTCAGCTGTTCATCTCAAGGCAGCTGCCATGCTGCTATTGACAGCTGGGAGAGTGCTGGGACACTGCTGGGACCACCAGCTGACGTCTCCTCTCCCTCCTGCTCTGCCTTGTTGCTGTGTGGGTGACACAGAAACTCATTCACAGTGCAGGGCTGGCAGAGAATGCTTAACTAATGTGGAGACAGAGACAGGGAGGCTGCCGAAGCACTGCTGTCTGTTTGCCAGCTCATAAAACATTCCCCCCAAAGCTGCAGAAATTAATACATGGATGATATTCTGCAGCAGACAACTCTGATAAGGATCTTTAGAAGTAACAAGAAATCCCTCCTGTCCCAGCAGCTTAGAGAACTGGACAGCAGACAACTTGCAAGCAAATGCAGGCCTTGAGCTTCTCATCAGATCCAGATTTTCAAAGTTAGTTGTTCCCTCCCTCTCTTCCCAGCACACTGAGCTGTTTTAAATAGCTGTCCATTCATTGCTGTTCTTTAGTGTTATTCTGTTTCTAACATGACTTTTCCATTTTGATTGCATTATTGAACAAAAAATGTCTTTATCTGCAGTTGTATGCTGTCCCTCTGGAGCCACCAGCACCTCTTAGGACCAAGAGCTAGACCATGGCCTCAGGTATGTGTTGAACCAGAGAAAATCACTAAATAGTGATTTTCAGCTAATGTTTTCAGAGGTGGGTTTTCTGGCAACACTGATGCTTTGGGTTGCTAAAAACAAGCTCGCATTCAAAGTCAGTGGGAACCTGGGAGAAGTCTATCTTCCCGTGGTCTGTTGAAAATCCCAACCTAGCATTCACTTTTGTGTTGTTGCACCTCATATTGGCCTTATTACTGACAGCTGAGTACTGGGCTGGCTTGTTAGAGAGGATCTGAAATGAGATAAAATGCAATGACAAGTGTCAGGAAAGGAGCACTGTGCGTTAATGCATTTCTAAAGGTTCTCTCCAGTCTCTGTGATTGGTTTCATGTCTGTTTCCATGCATGGCCAAGACAAATCAAAACTCAGGGCCTCAACTCCTGGACTGTGTGGGAGGACCAGAAGCTCAGCTTTCCTTTAAAAGAAAAAGAAATAGAAACAAATCCACCAAAAAGCCCCTTCTTTCTTTACCAGTAATCAGAGATGCCAAAAGATGCTTGAGAACAAGATGTGCAACTGATTATTCTGAACCTGGAGAAAGCTGCAAGAGATTACAGTGAAGGAAAGGCCTACACCAAGGGTATGGAACCAGGAGACCCCATGAAGGTGGAATCAGAGGTGCAAACTGCTGATCTAAGAATCGAGGACTCGTCCCACAGGTGTTGCTAAATTTGGTAGGTGCAATAGCTGATGCTTTTTAATGGTGTGTGATGGAAATGTATTATTTTATGAAGATCTTTTACAGCACCTTGCCAAAGGTATCACAGTATTTACCTGATTATCTATTTTATTATCTCTTAATCCACTTCAGCTGATAAAAAATATAGTACAAAGTTTGTTTGTCTGTTTTAAACTAATTAGAGCTATTACCCATCCCATCTTTAATGTTTTAAAAGTTTATTTCCAGGGTTGGATATTCACTTGTGACTGCTTGCACTCACACTGAAGAACTGCAGAATAAAACTGATTGCTCACAGAAAAGGTTTGGATGAAATCTGCATCTGGTATATAATCTGCATGTGATGTGAAGAGAACATATATGTATATGTCAGAGAACAGAGTTTTAAAAATCTGCTCCCTTAGATCACTAAAGTTTGATCTGTAATTTTGAGGCTTTTTTTCTGATTCACCAACAGACACTTCCTGAGAGCATTAACTGTTTCAGAGGGTGTTTAGAAAAAAGCCATCATTAAAAAATAATGAACTACTAATGTTAAAGAGGTCTTTTAGACCTGCTTACTGACGTGAAATCACAAGGGAGTCACAGGACTGTAGCCTCTGATTTTATTACTCCACTGGCAACACCGCCTTCCCAACCTGTGACCTGTTCTCAGTCACATGAGACCCCCCACAAAATTAAGTTCAGCTGCAAGTGCTGTTACCTTGTGTATAAATGCAAATACTCATATTCTGAGCACGAGGATTTTACGTGGCTCTTCTCGCTATGCGGCACTTTATGAAGACCTTAGGCCATGTTGTTGCTGAAGGGTCAGATTTGCTTTCCCTGTAAATGCCTACTTGTTCCCATCACTCCTCTTGAGATGGCTTTCAGCTTGAGCTCCCAGTCTGCCAGTGAGCCAGGCCACCTGGAAATGTACTGCTTTTGAGTGTGTGGAGTAGTTTTTGGAAAAAGAGATGCTCCTAAGAGGAAAACCATTCTTCTTCAATGAGATGGCAGCCTACATTTATCATTTTCCATGAAGATTTGATTTGGTTCTTTGAGAGAAATATCAGGAGATTGGGATGATCCACAGTTATTGTGTCAGTGATCCTAATTTCAGCTGGGAACTCTGAATCTCTCCTTATTTTCTCAGAAAGGGATTAGGAGACCTCACGATGAGTTTGCCTATGACTTGACATTAGGTACAGTTAATTCCACTGTTGTAGCCATGCTAGGAGAAGAGGATGACCTTTTTGGCAAAGAGAAGGACTGACATCATAGCCCACAAACTGATTTGTTTTCCCCTGCCATCCTGAGATTACCAAAATGCAGAAATGAAAAGAGTAGCAGATAAAGAAGCTCAATCCAACCCCCAGGCTTGTAGCCTAATGCTTTAAAGGCAAACATGAAAGAGCAACAAGCAGAAAATGGAGTGAAAGTATCTCCCCTTTAATGAATAGTCTTTCCCCAAATTCTTTCCTATTTGCACAGATAAAAGGGATATGCAGGGTGGCACAAAGAATCTATGTGTGTGGCATGTAAAATCTAAATGTGACCCTGCTTCTACCTTGAGCTTGTTTTTCAGTGCAATAAAGACAGAGCAAACAAGCATCCACCTCCAAACACTGAGTTCATATAAAAGGAGATGAGTTCAGCTATGCCATATAGAGAGGATTTGCAAGATGAAACTGAATCACTCAACACAGGGCAGTGCAAAACACTGACATTTCCAACTGGGAAAACTCTTTCACAGATTCAAAGTGCTGTGAAAGTAAATGTTACATTAGGCCTCTTGATTTCATCGGGACATTTGCACACTTAGTGGATTTTTGGCCACTAAGGAATTTGGCAGATAGGGAAACTGAGGCCCAGGATGGTAGCTCTACTTGTGTTAAGTCATGCAATGAGTCAGTGACAGACCCAGTGGCAGAGAGCAGGAATCTCTGCATCCCAGCTCCAGTCTCAGACCACGCTGCCAGAGGCAGGTCCTGCACAAGGCAGTGTGGAGAGGGATACATTACCAGTAGGCGAGGGAAGGATGCTCCTTCAGCGCTGGTGTTGGAAGGGCTGGCAGCTTCTTTAATTCATTCCTTACAACTTCATTGCTGAAAGAGAGTTCAAAAGGAGGATCAGGCTACAAGAAAACAACCACAATATTTGATATGACTTGACCTAGCTGGCAGGCTGCTATGGCTCTACATCTGTTCCTTCTTAACAAAAGGCACTGGGGTTTCCTTTTTCTCCTCTCTTTATTTGTTTTATGGCAGCCCAGTTAACTTTTCCCTCTATTATCAAAATTGGAGAGAAGCTCTCCCAGATGGTTATGTTGAAACACTTCCTACCAGTGACTGGACACAAAAGCCACCATGTCACATGTCACTGAGCAGGGTGTCACGGACATGTTCATAGAGGGGAAAAAAACCAAGGGGGAAAGAAAGTGATGCTTTTAGCTGCCATTGTACATCTTTATTTAATGCCTTACAAACTGCTGCAAAAAGTAATAATTTGCTTTCTTAGTATCACAGGTTGTTCTTAACCTCTTGCATAACGTCTTCACTGATAAGACTCCACTTTGAATTTGGGTCCTGCTACATAAAATCTTCCTACACAACCACCTCATTAACATTCTTCTCCCTGCAACCTCCAGTGGCCACAATGGCCAGCTGGAGCAGCATCACCGTGCAGCAGAGAGCAGGGAGAACTCATGAAATGGGAGGCATATTCTCACAGATGAAACCGTGGGATTTTCTCCTACAAACCCCAAATGCCTCCCTTCCCACTTTTAAACACACATGGAATTGTGTGCACATAGGAAAAAACAAAAAAGCCTCAAAGGCTTGGGAAGGAAGGCAGTGCTGCTATTAATTTCTAAAATTGTAGAAATACACAGCCAAGAGGGCCAGACAGGACACGGAGGAGTGCCAAAGAATTCATGTTTATTGGCTTACTTAGTTACAGCAAGTTTTTCTGCCTTCTTATACCCTTCCCTTTATTCTACCCAAACGTGTGGTTGTCCTGGAGCTTCAGAGAGAGATACCTCTTCCAGAGCTCCAGATTCCCCAGCCCACTGGCTTCTCCCATGAGGCTGGTAGACAGGTAGTCTTGACCTCTCTGGCTGTAGACCAGAGATCCTGACATCTGCTAAAGACTTGAGGAGCTCTTGGACATCCCAGATCACCCTGGGTTTTATCCTTTTCTCTGGGACACTCTGTATATTGACTTGTAGAGAAGTGACACTGCTTCAGTTATAGAAATCTTCCCACAGCATTTCTCCATTTGCACATCCAGGAGCAGGCTCTGCCTGAGACCTAGGTGGGTTTGTCTTAATTGGAGTCTGCAGGTTAATTGCTATGTTGGGCCATAGGGTAAACCACTGACATAAATCCAGGAGGAGGCATTTTGGGCATGTCTACAGACATTTGTTTATAATTATGGTAGTTCCCTGACAATAAATTAAGTAGTTTTAAAACAGGACCAAACTTCTAGTCCGGACAAATCTGTGAGAGATGGCCAAGTCTCAGTGAGGCTCAAATTTTGCAGAGTGAAGATGTGCTGAATAGCACACAAGAACTGAGGCAACAGCTGCCATGCTAAGCACATGGAAAACCACTCTGTAACACCTCCTATGCCAAGCCAAAAGGCTCTTGACAAACAATGTTTGAACACCCACTCCTGCCCAAATCCCATGGTCATTTGGCCACCAGAGTTCTTCTCTTCTAAGTGCAAATGCTCAAAAACTATTCAGATTTATTCTTCCATGGCAGGTAAATATCTGCACAAGTCTGAACATGAAGCTGCTCTGCACTGTGTTATCTGCTGATCTGGAAGCTCTGTTCTGTGACTGACAGCCTAGAAAACAAGTTGCTGCTTTTTAGAGTTTATTGCCAAAAGCTGTCTCCTCCACAGCATGTGCATACTCAGCTCTTACTGAGGTTTTTGACATTTTGAAAGAAACTGGGAAAAAAAATAGAACGTGGGACAGTCAGAGTACAAGCAGAAGTAACTGCCCTCAAATGAAGATTTTTGAGGTTGGCTGCTCAGAGAAGGAAGTTGAGAGATTTCCAAAACTTTTCTGGGAAAGCACAGAGTGAGTTCCAAACAGGGACTTTCTGAGCCCAGAAATCTATCAAATAGGGCAGGATTAGTGGTGACTAACGATCCCTGAGAGTCTGGGAAAAACTCTGAGTCAGTAATGGCTTCTATAAAAGAAAGGGCTAACATCAGTCAGTTCTGTTTTTTTCTGTCAGTGAGGCGCAAAGTTTGCCTGTGCTGTGATATGGTCTTTTAAGAATCAGAGAAAAAGACATTTTTAGTGATGTTGGGCAGGATTAACATTTCTGCTCAGCACCTAGAAAATATTTTAAGGATAGTGCCTCAGCCTCAAAGCACCTCAAAAGTCAGGCAATCACTTCCAGGAACAAAAAGGTATTTCATTCTGTGGTCCATGCATTCACTAAGCCTACTGGCAAGACTCATCTCAAAACAAATTAATTTAGCATCCAAAAAGATGTTAAATCAATAAAAGGAAAAAAAATAATGATTCGGGTTGCATTTGAACTAGTGGGCATGAGGTCACTTTCCTCTCAGCTCCTTTTAAAACACTGAACCCCTCAATTTTTAAAATGTTTCCAGCAGGATCACAAGTGTTTTTTTACTTACTGCTTTTCATGCTCTTTCTAGTGAAATATCTCAGTGTGCTTGTTTTATTACTGTATTTAGAAAGTGTTTGTTTAATCCGGTCACTTGTGCTGCATTTATTTTATATTCGGAAGTGTCCAGTCTCCAGGGCTGATATATACAGAAGGGTGTTTAGGACACAGATTTATTAATATGCAGGGGAAAGGCTCCAAAGACACTTTCTCTGTGTCCCCTAGACCACTTTATTCCCTTTTTTCCTATGGTGGAAATGGTAATACTTAAAGGACTGAATAACAATATGAAAACTGAACTGGAAAAGCCATCTGTGAGGGTTCCTGAAAGCTGGTTAGAAAGCTGAAGTAAGGTTGACTAACAATGGACCTAGAAAACACAACACCACCTTCTTGGGTTTGTTCTGGTACTGCCTGTTTAATGAGTCTTGTCCAAATGAATTAGTCACCATCTCTTACAATCTTAATCTACACATGGGGGCAAAAGGCCTGCCTAGAACTTCATAAACATTTTGTAAAAAACAAGTTTTTGCATACTGTCTAAAATAAATTTGAGCAAGATTACATATGCAGTGGTCTCAGGAAATCCATACATTTTCCAGCACGTGTAATGACAATGATCAAGAAAAAACAAAACTGCAGGTTAAAGTTACCAACTCTTCTCAGCATGGTAATTCATTCTGTAGAATGCAGGAGGAAATGCATACTCTGAGATTCTCAGATTAGATGGTACTTTCAAAATACAGTGTTTAGGATCTTTACCATTAGGCTGCAAGAATATAGCCCAAGTTCTCTAACCCTTTAATACATTCTAATTGGTTACATGTCACTTGGTTCCACAGAAAGAAAAGTAAGCCTGAAACTATGTTAGATTACCATCTGCCCAAATGCTGAAATTATTGTGAAATTCTGCCTAGCAGGAAACTGGCTGTTAGCTTTCCTCCCTTGTTATTCTTTCATGTATTGCTGGGAGATACTTGGAGTTCACTTGAAATGTCTCATACAGTTTAACTGGAGGAAATCTAGCAATGAGGAACTAGCGGCAGTGGTTCCGGATTTTGTTTTACTCAGAGGTTTTTCTTTCCCATCCTCAAACTGAGGGACAAATGCTCAGTATATGCCATTTCTTGCTGCTTTGACATACAAGCTGTTAAGGCTGAAGAACTGGGTTATGAACCTTTAAAAACAAAGCTGGTGTGAGTTTCCCTGAGATTTTGGGACTGGACTGTGGGCGGGGGGCGGGAAATCCCAATTATTTTAACAATATCTTGTATTCCCCCACAAATTAGCTGGGGCTGCCTTGGTAATTCCTTTATGTAGGCCTAAAGAGAGTCACACCTGTAGGATTTGTGTCCATCTAAAGAACTGAAATTTCTCCTGCCCATGCTCTGCCAACCAAGCGTGACTCAGCTCCCAACTAGAAACAAGATTAGTTTGAGCTAATAACCTCTGGATCCATCTGCAGGATACTAGTTTAGGACCTTTATACACACAATTCTGTGCCTTTGAAGTCAAAATGTTTGCAGCTAATATTGAAAAGCACAGATCCAATCTTAAGTGTCCGGTTCCACCTGAAAACCAGCTGAACAAGGAATCTTGATTGTCCGAAATTCAGTGGTATGTTCCAGACTAAAAGTAAACATATTTAAGTCTTGTCAGCTGAAGCATTTGAGCATTCTCTTTCAGTAATGTGAAAATGCTCTTCTTTAGTGCAGAGGACTAGGAATTTCTTAAGAAGAAAAGCTTTTTATTTTAAACCTCATTCTGCCTGAATCTATATCGACTAAGAGATGGAGGCTACTCACAGCAAACATTAATACTTAGCTGATCTAAACAGGTTCAGGGTTTCTGATGAGCTTGTTTTTGAAATGGAATACACATTAGAAATGCAAAAGGACTTAAAAGAATTGCTCACTATAGTTGCTAAACTCATCTGTCAGGGCTGTTGTGGCATTTTACTTCAAGACAGGTGAGGGTGACTTGGACTGTGTTCCCCAGGCTTAGCAAAACCTGGGAATCATTGTGATGCCAAAGGTGACAAGCAGCAGTGATTACAGACTCATGCATGGTAATGCTCTACCAAAGGATATGACACAAGCTGCTTTTTGGAAAAGGAAAAAGGAATGATCTGAGCACAGTGATTATTCTGAGGTATGGGATGATTTCCTCAAAAGCAGCAGTCACTGAGGATGTATCAGTTCACAGAGGTAGAAAGCCGACAGTTACCGTTTGTTTGTAAGATTGATTCTGTTTTTTGAGTTCCCACGAGGCCCAAAGAGCAGACTTGCACCTGCATTCAAGAGTCCTGAACCAGCTGCAGATCCTCCACGTGGCTGCAGTGGGGTTTGGAGGTAATCCCACTCCGGCCACCATGGGCAGGTGCCAACATGCAGCTGGAGCTGTGACAGTTTGGCTTTGACCATCCCAGCACCTGAGGTGATCGACTGTGAGTGACTCACAGGAAGGCTCCCATGGGGAACAGCAATTCTCCCATCACTACCAAAGAGCCAGTGCTTATGCACTTTTCTGGATGGGGGCCAGAGAAACTCATACTCTCACAGGCTATAAATCTGATGGTGGCAGTAGACAGGACAGGTGTGGGAAAGCTGCAGTCTGCACTCCAAGCATGCAGCCCTTTAGAATTAATTTATTTCTTCAAAAACAAAGAGTTCAAGAGTTCAGCCATCACACAACATATGCTGCCATGCACAACATATAATCTTTAAATCTCAGCAGCAAGACAATCACAACTGCAAAGCTTCTCTGTTTCAAAGAGTAGGCACTTCTACTTTAAACAGTATTTCAACATCAACTTATTTCAGACACTGAAGCTAACTTGATCCCTAAGAGAAGTCAGAACATTTTTCTTCACCTGCAGTTCCTCTGGCTGGCCCGAGGCTTGGTTTGCCTGTCAGATTTTACACTGCTGATATGATAACCACAAATCTCAGCAGGCAAAAATCTTGACCACAACAACCTCATGTTGACTTCAGTAGTATCTGGATCTCACCCAGCACATAAACCTGTGTCAGTGCACATTAGATGGGAGCTGCTGGGGACGGACATCCCTGGGAGATGCCAAGTCTTCTAGACCACAGAGGATCAGGGTAGTATTTTTCTACCTTCCTCCAAGAACAGCCTTCAAACTCACAGCTTTGTCCCCAAAGTCAATTTATAAACTAAGATCCCTGGCAGTGCCCTCAAATTGTTATTATGACACCCCTTCTCTGCCTGACCTGGATGCAAGGAATCTCCCTTCCACTTCAAACCACTGTGATCCACAGGGGAAAGAACTCAGAGCTGTTTTAATGGGCCTGGTGATGACAGCCAGACTGATGTGGTGGGAGCAGTTAACACCATGGCTTGAGGTATCTTCCGTGCCCTTAGAGAAGATTCCTCATTTCTCTGTGGCCTAGAGAAACACACTGATAAACTCAACATTCCTTTTACAAGGGACATCACACAACTTTTAGCAGGTGGATACTTTCCACCAGCTGTTTCCATTTCTGGTCTGGAAACGGGTACTTGAAGACAAAATGCTTTCAGTCCTATTACTCTGAGCTATCTGATTCCTTTCTGTTCTGTATTTCATAGTCTGAATGCACACTTTCTGAGTGTGTTTTCACCATAACCAAGACATTCTGGGAAACAAATACTGCTGTTCGTAGCAAAACCAGTGGTTTATCACAGGTTGAAATGGGAAAACTTTGCTTGGCACAGCTCTTCGGGACTGAGTGCTTGGCAGTGCCTTGAAAACCAGACTGAAAAGTCAGAGCCACATACACTCCAGTACCCCCTAAATAAACAGTGCTGATGGCCAAGTTATTCCAACTTGGGCAGAACTGAAAAAAGAAGCAAGACTGGGTTTGTGATTCTCTGATCAGGTGCATGTCAGGATTTCATAAGTTCATTAAAGTTTTGAGAAATGACCATAAGGCAGAGCTTAAACTTCCTTTTAGCAAGGGCTACCTTATGTCACCTCAGATTCTATGATGAGCAGGAGATATCTACAATGCAGTTCCTTTTCACAGATTTGTCACCATTTTAGCTGGATGGAAGTTTCAATCCACCAGAAAGTGGAACCTGCCTGTTCTTCATGGCCTCCTATCATCACAGTCATGTTTCAGTGTATTGCAATGCTGACAAAATTAAGACAATTTTTAGGCTCACCTGAAAATTCAACCCCACTGCCCATTTCTTTTCTTCTCTGAAACTAACTTTAATGGATATTTTGGTCCTCCAGACTACATGAAAATTTTAGCATCATCATTTCTCCTGAGCTTCCACCACACTAAGAACTTCCACCCTTCTCACGAGATGCCAACCAACCATCTGACCTCCAGCTGCTGCTAACTTGTAAATCACAGACATGGTTGACTTACAGGAAAACTCTTGGGCATTTCATTAACAGTCTTCTGAAACACCAAGTACAATGACCTCATTGAATTTCTTACAGTAAGTCTGAAGATTTGGCTCAAGGGATAGCAGAAGTCCAACAAAACCAATTATTGAATCAGTGATTTTGAGAACTGTCCAAATTCAAACTGAAATATCAATTAGTGATGGAATTTTAATGTTGCCTCTGGCAGGGTCTGTGATATAACAGTGATTTTAGAGTCATTTCCGTAGCAATTTCCTTCCGAAGACTAGTCTATTTCCTGAACTTCATGACCACATAATGAGATTTGTCAACAACAAAATCACAAACAATGCTGTTTGCAAGGCATGCTCTGGCCAAAGGCTGTGTTTGGTGAAGAAATTATGTCAGGAAACATGATGTCTATGTTAGCCAAGCACACACAGTTGCATTGCTAACAGAGGCAATGCTGTTGCTACACAGCTACAACTGAGTTGCATGTCTCACACAGGAATTTTACCAGATTTATTTTCACATCGCACAATAGCAAAAACTTTTTAACTTCACCTACCTTGAAAAATCTCCCTTTGCCTCCTGTAAAACAAGGAAGAGAAATCAAAAATATATAATTAAAAACAGAAAAAAAAAAAAAAAAAAGAGAAGAAAAGCCTGTTCAAGATTTTCCATTTGCAAAATTCATTTAGCAGCAATTTCCTGCTGTAATTGATTCCTCATGCAGGTTTTGGAACCAGTATCTAATGTCAAGTGCCATGATACAGTTAGTTGGGCAGATTAACAAACAAAAGATCTAACACAGGGCCAGATGAGTGCTCATTCTGCTGTGGATACTTAAAATGCTACAGGAAATTCCAGTAAATAAGAAATTCTGGGTGCTACATTTCTAGAAAATCTCTGAAGTCTCAGTGGATTTGCAGCCTCTAAGACTGCAACTCCCCTGACTTTTTTACAAGTATTCTCACCCTTTTCTAGTACCTAAACTTTAAAAAAGCTTGATCACGGTCAGCTTTCAAGGGGATGCAAGACACAGGTTTCTATAACTCTTTCTCTTTTCCTTGCTGTGTGTTTGGGGAAGTATTTAGCTCCCTTACTTGTACATCTAGATACTTTTATTTATTATCATCACAGCCTGATGTTTAAAGGTTGGATAATGTTTCACTACAGTAGTTAGATTAGTCTTACTGCATACCTGGAGAATCCTCAGAATCTGGTGAGTGCCCTCTGCAATAGATTTAGCACACATTTTGCATTTTCCATTTACCACAGACAATATGCCTTTCATATGATTCATGCTAAAGCACCTCATTTGCCACCAGCTACACAGAAAGCACAGTGCAAGAATGTAATTTGGGCAGTGAGGGAGTTTCCACTGCCAAAAGGACTGGGCTTTGTGTTCAGGCCTTTTGTCTTTACATCCATTCATCTACCCGCAAAACCTGCCAGCCCACGTCCAGTGGTGTTTCAGTCCTGAGGCTGGGGTAAAGTTCAGAGCTCTGGTGGTACTTTAATTTGTTTTGCTTATAAAACAATTTGAAATAGGGCTGCAGACTAAATCACTTGAGTTCTGACAGACCTCTGCTATCTTTTCATTTCCCTCTGAGTGAACTGAAGGGCAGACAAGCACTTCTCTGGTTCATAGGAAGGAGTCTTTGAGCATGTCATGATTACAGTTCAACACAGAATAAAGCCCAAAGGATATTCTCTTGCCTGCATGGGTGTGAGCATTTAAAAAACAATTTTGTAGGGTATATGTTTCATAATTCAGTGCTTTGACCTAAATGCTGCAGCAAGAAATAGAACAAAATGCAGTATGATTCCTTTTGTTTTGCTTGGATCCTGTCACAAACATGGGTTGTAGTAGTTCCTGGTTACAGGCAGCAAAGGTGTGGCTTGTTTTGACTGTTTTTATTAAGTTACACATCAAACTACTACAGGAATAAGCGTAACATCCTGTGTTTGTGGCAAGAAACAATCCCAGCAACAAGGACTAGTTACAGCTCTGGGTCTGGCTGTACAATTACTAAGCACTAAGTTATTCACTAGGATGAGCAGACAATAGATTCATAACCCCACTGCTGCTCCTCACAATGAGCCCGTTGTTTGATGTGTATTCCCCCAACAGCCAATATGTGATTTCTATAATGTGCTGCTAATTGAGTCCTCCATCCTGACTCTCTCACTCCATTCTTGTTACATAAAATTATTTTAATGAAGGTTCAAATCCCTACACATTAATTGCTTCTTTAACATGGCAAGTGCTCCAGAAGTGCAGTGCACTGTTATTTAGTAGTGCAGTCTGATGAGCTGGTTTGTCTGCTCACATGGCTCCTCATAGCTTCATGGCTGATAGGAAAAAAATTAAAACTACAGACTGTAAGAGAGGGGAAACAAGGATCATCTGAGAGTTATGTCTGATCTGCTCCCACAGTCATGCTTCTAAAAAGAGAACTTTCACAAAACCCACCCTCACTACCCTGAAAATGCTCCCTTCTGGGAACCAGGCATTTACCAAACACTCCTTGGTCATCTGCTCTCTGACCCTTTCCCCTCTTCTTGAAGAGCGGAACTTGGAAAGACAATATTTAGAAAGGTCTTTAAACCATTCTGCCTGTGTTGGAGAATACAGACAGTTGCACATGTAGAAGCTTATGTAGCTCATCAGAGGACCAAGCCCCATTGGGAAAACAAATGCAAGTAAAAAAACCCAACATTGCATATGGATTTCACCTAGGAATTTGCATTTGCATTCATCACTTAGATAAGTACGTACATCATACCCCAGAGTCTTGGATATCTGTGCTGGGAGTGGGGAGGTCTAGTTTGAGAGCCTTCTGTACCCATTTTGACAGAAACAATGAAAACTGTGCAAAGGCATCTTTTTCCTGCAGCTGGTAGGAACCCCTACACTTCCACATAGCCACTGTAGATTTAGTAAATCAAAACATTTAATGCAGCATGATAAAGCACCAAGCGAGAGAAGGCAGGTGCTTACCTGCAAGATGTATGCAGCCAGTTCAAACACCAGGTGCTTACCTGCAAGATGTATGCAGCCAGTTCAAACACCACTTCGCTGTCAACCTCAATGAGTTCCTTGAAAGGTGAAGAAAACAAAAAAGAAAAAGGGAGTTGAGCTGCTGTAAGAAGGACATACATCTCCTCCTGACTACTGCATGGTGAAGCATGCAGTGCCAGTTTTCTCCCTTGGCTAGGCTTCAAAGTATTCCCTGTGCTCCTGGAGACAAAAGAGAGGGAGAACCTGCCCACTCAGATATGGAAAAAGCCAAATATTCAGTGTAATGCGCTGGTTAATGAAGCATAACCCAGGGATGCCTGGGGGAGGAGTGAGGAGAAGGCAGGTGGAAGGGGTAGGATCAGGGTACATTCTATTTTCTTGTTTGATTTAGTGAAAAGCAGTCTAGGATACAGATTTTCTTTGCCCTCAGATGTGAGCATGGTTCAAGGGAACACAGCTTTGTCCTTGGCTCACAGAAGCAAGGAATGAGAATTTGTCTTTCACACACTGAGGTGGTATCAAAGCCCCAGCTGGACTTCTCTGGCCCTTGCAAAAGGTAAACTCACAGGAAAATTAATCATTTTTGCTCTTGCAGGATTTGAGCCCTGGTGTTGTCCTTTTCACCCCCCAAAAGCACTGAGGCTGGGGGTGGTTTGAGAATGAGCTGTGACAGCAAGTCTTTTGATAGATCTTCCTTGCTCCATTTTATAGGATCCTGCTACTGATGAAAGCAACCTTGGAGGGTTTTACTTGGGCACCATGGTCACATGAAGGACACAGATGGTCCCAGCATATCCTCTCAGGATTCCTCTGTGGAGCCAGGCACTGCTCTGGCTGAATGTGCAGAATGCAGTCCAAGCATCAAAAATGCTTGAGATGAGAGGCACAAGAATTACTCTGGAGGCCAAGCATGCTATTTCTGACACTCTGGTCCCTGCCTTTGGGAAGCTAGTGGGCTTTTACTGAGATAATGTTTAGGTCTCTATTCTGCAACTAGAACTCCTACATTGTCTCCTATGGACATGGCCCAGTAAACTGGGTCACTGTTCAGCTCATCCCTGTAGTGGTTTTTCTGTTGTATTTATTTAAGCTGCTGGTTTTAATATTTTACTTCATCTGGCAAGAAATGAGTGATCTAAATATAGATCACTGCTGTGATCCATGCTCCAGCCAACTCATGGCCACACCTCATTTACAAGCCACAATTGCTGCATTGGCTTGTCTCTGGCAAAATCAAAAACAAAGGGAGCAAAACACAGGATAAGATCCAGGTGTCCTCGGCTTTCACTAGTGCCAGCTTTTTAAAATAAGTTCACCTCTTTCATAACAACTCCTTGGGGAGTGAAGAGCAGCTCTGCTGAGGGCGATAAACACGCCTTTCCCCTCTCAGCTGAGCTGCCTGAGTCACGCAGGCACCTGCAGCAATGATGGGCCTGTGCCAAGGGAAGCGGCTGTGCAAGAGAGAAATTCAGCTGCAGGCAGGGCTGGGCTGGGGCTACCAGGCACATCCCATAGCAAGGGGCAATGCAGAGCAGAACCACAGCACCTGGTCTTCCTCCTGTCTGGGAGCATCAGGCATGGCACAGACAAACCAGCCCGTGCAACCATGTGTGGATGCTATGGCAAGTCTATACTGGCAGGTGAAGTGGGCCAGAGGCCATTCTCTGGCCCCAAGGGTACCTGGGGTGCAGCAGAGCTCATGACTAAACACTCACCCTCTCTCCCCCAGTCCCAGATGGGGTTTCCACCACTGTGTTGCCTATTCGGAACAGGTGCGCATCTTTGATCAGTGCCTTGATCTCTGCCTGGGGCAGAGCTAGTTGGCACAGGCCAAAACCCACGCCAGAACGTGCGAGTCATTAAACAGCCTGTCTGATCAAGGGACACTGCCTGATGCCAAGCCCTGTCTGCTTTGGTAGTATAAATGTGGCTTGGCCTTTCTGGCAGAAGTGGCTTGCTGGTCCTGTGCAAGGGTTTGGGTGTGTGGCTTCACAAGTCTCAGTACTCAACAGGGTTGGTGAGTGGGGGCAGTGGGTACAGGCAGAGGAGAACAGCACCCAACACATGGCCAGGTGGCAACCCAGTGACCATCAGCCCCAAAATAGACCTCAGTTTTATTTTTTCCCACCCTGAGCAAGGAGATGTTTGAGGATGTGCTTAGTTAGCCCTCTCCAGAAACAAGCTCAGTGAGCATTATGTTTTGTTAGTTCCTAACACTGTGCTAGCACCTCAGACCTTTCCCTGTTTCATACACATTGATCTTTCTGGGCTGCAGGGAACCCAGGGCTGGAGGTATCCATGGAAAGTCCAATAAAGAAACTTTTGGTGCAACAAGGAAGCTCTCAAGGTTTGGTAGCATGCGACATCATGTGCTAGCTGCAGGAATGACAAGCACTGACTGTGCTTAGACACCAAGCTCCCCACAACATTACATTAGGAGGAATCTGCCAGGCTGGGTGCTTGCCCTGAGCCTTAGCAGACACTTTGCACCCAACTTTCAAATTCAGTGCCTTTTTCAATAGCACAGCATGGCTTACTGTGGCTGGAAGTCGAATAGGGAAGGATCTGCAAAGGAGATTGGGACTTCAGCAGGGTTATTTTTGGATAGAAACGCTCAGTTTGAATGTGCAAAGTAATGGTTTCAGGAGAGGTCAGACTAAAATAGACCAACTTAGATCTGTAGGCACTTTGTTTTCTTTATTTTGTTCCCCTCTTCTTCTTATTAAGCTTTCTCCAAAAAAAGAACAACAGTGTAAGCTTTTCCTGGCAGTACTTCAAAAAGGAACTTTCCCCAGGAACCAAAGCGTGATGCTCACTGAGCTTGTTGCTGGAGAGGGCTGACTAAGCACATCTAATTGCAGCCTTGCCGGAGAGCAAAGCATTGCACAGCTCAGCTCAGCAGCCCTGCCTAGTTCCTGGGCACTGAAAAAAAAAGAATTTTCTGGCTTCTGCCCTGCATTTTAGGACATATAAATGTCAAGTGAGGCTCTAGATTTGGTGTAATCTACTTGGCTTGGCAGGTGACAAATGTGCTGAGGGTTGTGGGATGGTGGAACAATCCCTCCCTAACTACATCTGTATTTTCCTACCACTTCCTCTCTGGCAGATGAGGTGAGTCACAGGAATGGCCTCTGCCAGCACAGAGGGAGGTAGGAGGGATCCTCCTAGGGAATCCCAGCTGCTGACAAACCTCTCCCAGTCCCAGGCATCCAGCCCACCTGGCTGAGTCTGCACACTGCCAATCTCCACTGCAGCGTGGTCTGGGGCTGGTTGATTTTCCAGACCTTGCCATGTACAGCTGGCTTGTGGCATGAGAGGGATCAGCTTCATGGCTCTGCTGTGGGCACCCCTCCAAGCTGAGGATGTGCCAGGATGCCTTATCTCTGGCACAGAGTATCTGGCAAGGGGCTGCTCTGAGGGGCAGTGCCAGGGACAGCAGCCTGATCTTCCAGGAATGGACCAGGGAGGGCAATTACTCAAACATTTCTCAGTGCATGGCTTGTTCCTCTACAAGGTGATCTTCGGTACATATCCACAGACACCTTTACCCCACTCACATATAATCCCAAAAACTCCTCCTGTCCCACAAATCTGAGGTCACTTGGCTTGCTCAGCCTGGAGAAGAGGCTGAGGGGATGACGATCTGGAACGTCCTCATGAGAGGAAGTGGAGGGACAGGCACTGAACGCTTATCTGGAGAACAGTGACATGCTGAGGGAACAACACGAATCTGACACATGGTTGGATATCAGGAAAAGCTTCCTCACTCCGAGGGTGACTGGGCAATGGAACAGGCTCCCCAGAAAAGTGGCCACAGCACTGAGCCTGACAGAGTTCAAGATGCCTTTGGACAACACTCTCAGGAACATGGTGGGATTCTTGGGCATTACGCATGCAGAGCCAAGACGATCCTTGCGGTTCCCTTCCAAGCGAGGCCACTCCATGGCTCCCCATCCCTCTCTCCCCTCACACACACCGCTGCCCCGTCCCCGAAGATGGCGCCCGCGCCGCACTGCCGCCCTCTGCGGGCCGAAAACCCTCACGGCAGCCACTCGGCCCAGAGCGCGTTTTTGACACAAACCCAGACATTTCCTTCTAAATACAAGCCTGTTTGTAATTTTAGCGGTGCAGATTCCCTCCTGCCAGCCACAAGAGTTACTTCCAGGACTGTTTTACCTCACAGCCACTCTCTGACAGGAAAGCTGCTGCCAAGTGCGGTGGCAGCTGGAGACAGTGCGAGGGAATGTGCAAGGGGGAGGAGGAGGAGAAGAAGGTTGTATCTGGATGTCCAGGTGTGACCCGTGTAAATTTTGGGGCAGGGAATGCAGATCCAGGTGTCTCAGCCCACTCTGGTACCATCCCCAAGTGCTCACCTTGTAGATGCAGGACTTGGCGTTCAAGAAGAACAGCTCGATGGTGGCATTGTCCTTCAGATAGGAGATGCTTTCAATGTAGAACCTGAAAGGGAAAGCAAGAGGGGTGAGACACGAGGGAACTAGGGCAAAACGTGGAAATGCACTTACTAAATGAAAAATGTGGTCAATGGAGCCATGATGAATGCATTAAAAATGAACTTTCTTCTCTTATACCAGACTGAGGTGGTGAAGGAGGCTCGTGCACACTCCAGGATGTGATCAGTCACCACCACCCCAGCCATACCAAAGGAACTGGATCATCAAGTGGATGACTTAGGTTCTAAATAATCCTTTGTTTTGTTTTCAAACTTAAGATAAACCTTTATTCTATTTTCTTGTATGCTCCACCTTCATTTGCCATCACATTTTCATCATCAGCATTTCTTCATCACTCCTTTACCCATCGCAACAATTCTGTGCTGTTAACCTGCATCTTGTAAAATATCCATCTCCAGAAATGCACTTCTGGGTTCCTTCCCTGTGCCCTTCAGCTCTGCATAAAGCAAATTTTATAAAGGGTTTTTTACATATTAGAAAATTTTTTTGAATAGGAGTGATTTCTCAGAACTCAGGAGAAAGCTCAAACCCTCAGTGTCAGAAAAATCTACTTGTTTGCATTGGCTGATTGCCCCAAATATTTGCAATTATGTTGAAAGCCCATGTGTGAATTTATTCAGTACTCCATGTCCTGCCTGCTCTGAAGGTCCGATGTTTTGGCAATGAACCTTGTGAGAGCTTTGTGAAAATTGACTTCTGCCCTTTATTCTGCCTTGAGATATTTTCTGGGGGGGAAAAAATGCTCTGGATACTTTCAATGTTAATGACTGATCATTCCATAGAGGTATGTTGTGTGTTCCTGTAGTAACAGAGAAAGCCTGGCTATATTCAGTGAATGTTAAAGTGATTTTTCATTTACTTAGTGTTTTAGGTAAGGAAAATTAAGTAGATCATGATGCTCTTTGATAGTGATCTTCAAATTGCAGTGCAGTGACAGCAACGTTCCTTACATAAATTCCAGTGCTATCGTGCCTTGTCAGAAGCAATTAGAATAGAGAAGGTGCCAGGGAAATGGTGTCTAAACCAAGGACTTTAAAAAACCCAAATTCCTTAGAAATCTGGGTTGACATACAGGGTCTAGTTACAGAGAAACCTGGCTCTCTGACCCCGTTGTCTGGGAGCAGACAGACCTGCGGACACTCCTGAGGCTTCACACAAGTGCTGAAGGGATTGTCCACATCCAGCTATTTGCAGAGTCCAGGGCCTTAAATGCAGCCTTCTTAGGGGCAAAGGTCAAAGCTTTGTAGTGCTCCTAAGTGTCTTCTGAAGGCTCCTCAAAACACTTTATTTCCTGATAGGCAGAACCAACTCCTTGCTTATTAGAGTGAGAGAAACATTTCGTTCATCTGCTGAAGGGCTCCTGTCTATATAACCCTTCCTTCTCCCCCTTCAGAAGAGAAATAAAAATAAAACCTGGATAAAATAAAATAAACCCTAAGAAAACACCAGCAACCAATCAAACCCACAAAACACCAAAAACATCTGAATGTAGTGATGATGAAGCACAAGGATTAAACTTTTTCTTATTTTTTTCTGGTGTTGACTGTTTCACCTCCTGTCCTTAAAGTGGCCTCTTTGCAAATGAAGAAAATACTTGGCTTTAGAAATACAAAAATTGATGCATTAAAAAAGGATCCTTCTTACTAGATCTGCTCTCTGAGTGCAGCTGGCTTCCCATCTGCTAAATTAAATGGAGAATAATGCTAATTTTACATTCTGTGGTTCTTGAACAACCTTCTCTTCTTATCACTGCTACCAGTGCTCTCCGAGTTATGGTGGTAGGTTTTCTTATTCCAAGGTCAGAAGAGAACGAGAACATTTTTTTTTCCATTTTGAATCCCAGTGAAGGTTAGCCAAAACCCTTTTTGTTTCAGCAACTCAAACGTGACCATTCTCACCATCACTAGAGGGCAATATTGCATTTCTCAAGGCTGCAGGGAGCTTTCCCAAGGCTTTCCACATAGACATAGACCGTTTTCTGTACAAAATTAAGTCTCTGGGAGCCCAGAGCCTGGACATGATACTTCATCTCACAAAGAAAACCCAATTTTCAAGTGATCTCCAGAGTGGAGAGTGAGCTGGGAAGCTACTGGCTCTCACACATGCACCCAGACAAATGTGGAACGGGTGGACCAGGAAACTGGTGCTACTTAAAAGAAAACAGATTTGCAGGGGGAACTCCTGTGGGATTTTCTATGTGGCAAGCTCAGAAAACCTGAACTGGAGTAGATTACCCTGAATTCACAGTTGGTGCAGTAACCACAAAAAGGGCAGGGAAAGACTTTTATTTTGCACTTATGACTAGTTTCTGCCACATCTCCTCCTGTTTCCATCTTTTACAAGCACAGTGAGGGAACCCACGCTTTACAATGACCAATGTCAATGACTCAGGAGGCAGGCAGGAACATCCAGCTGCTAAGGCAATGGAGCAAGCAAACAAAAATCTGGGTTGAATTCCCAACTCGGACACAGGTTTCCTTTGTGACCTTCAGAAAATCATTTAGCTGCTTGGGTTGTTGAGCTGGGCTTAGAAAACACCCCTCCCTTCTCTGCCCCCCTCTGTCTGTTTTGCCTGTTAAGCTTAGGAGCCTTTGAAGGTATGTTTCAAGATCATCAGTTTTGAGAGGCAGCTCTCAGATTTCTCTTGAGGACTCCCCAGAGAGCAGCATTCCTTCATGTGATGTGAAGCTGATGTGCCTGGGATATAATGGATAGGTTGGACAGGGAAACAAGCACTACAGTGTGTCCAAGACCTCTGCTCCATTACCTGCATCTCTTGCAATACACACTCAGCAAATAGTTTTGCCTCCAGCAGCTCCTACAAGAGGTTCCTTGATAGCCAGCAACTGTGCCTGTGAGAAATTAGCTGCCTGCAGGAAGGGGGAACACCCCATGAGACTTGGTGAGTGTAAAACCAAAGGAATAATTTTGGAGAAAATTTAAAAGATCAGCCAATGTTAATCTATTTCTGCATTCCTCCTCCCTCCCCACCCCCAGTAACTTGTAATTCATCAAGTACATTTTCTAAGCATTAATTAAATAGACCAGTGAATATTATGCTGGATAATGAACACAAAGTGCCTATCTTGGCTGCTCCCTCTCAGCAGCAGGGAAATAATAATGAACACTGCAGAAGGTGTCTTGGAAGACTTCAGAAGCTGTTGCATCTGAAATGTTTAAGGCTTTTTAGCTGCGAGGACATGTCTCATACTGATCATATTGCTCTCTGTTCAGCATTGGTTAACTCACAACTTTCTCTGAGACAGCTTAAGCCCCCTCAAGCTGATGGCAATTCCCATCATAACCAGCCCAGCACAGACTCACAGTGGTGCTTGTGGAAACTCCTGATCCTTGGGTGGGGGGAAAATGGTACTACTATAATTTCTCCCTTGCATTACTAAACACAGGCCCACCCACCTCTGACTCATGGCTCAGAGAAATGCCTGACTGGGTCCTGGACTCAGCAGTTTGATAAGTGGTTCTTCATGAGATGGAGAATCCCTTACTGCTGCTGCCAGTCTCATCTGTGAACCCAGGTGTGTGTGTGTGTGTGCAGGTGGGCAAATTCAGCAGTGTTGGGAAGGTGTTTGAACACTAGTGCTCTGTCCTTGCAGTGGGAGTAGAAGAATTCAGGACTGCTAAGCACCTGAGCTGGTGGGATGCTTGTGTGCACAGTGAGAGAAAAAATGAGCAGCACTCCTGATCTCCATACACCAGAAGAAACTGTCAAATACAAAATATTTAGCATTGCCTCTAACACTTAGCCCTAGCCATATCTTGTCAGCCTGAACTTGGCCATCTCTCACCTAGCAAGGACCAGGCTCTCTGCAGTCGAGTTGCTGACTGGGCAGATAGACTGTCATAGCATTTGAGAGCACAAGCCCATGTGTTTATTTCCAAGCAGAACCTGCCAAATGGTAAAAATATTTCACTGTGATCTTCAACACAATGGTATTTCAAAACATGACCACAGCAAATGGATGTCTTGTCTACTCCAGGTGTCTGTCTTTCCTGAGGCAGAGATACCATCCTCATTCTTGTGAAGTTTGAGTCTGGTGGGAGCTAGCTAATCCAAAAGACTTCTATTCACATCTTCTCCAGCTGGTTGACTCTGATATGGTTAGGACACAGCTGTCAGCAGAGTTCAGTAACCCTCTCAGTGCACTACCCCTCATTTTGTTATTACAAAGGAATGGGTAAAGGAGAATACCCCTTTTCTGCCTCATCCATCCTGGGGTCTGGCTCATTATCCCTCACCACATCATTCAGAACCTCAGAGGATAATTTGAAAAATATGAGGCCATTTGCTAACCAGGAAAAGAAAAATCTTATGTGTCAGTATAATGGACTTAAATGCAGATGTCATTATGTCCAGTGTCTCATGCTAAATGAGTATTCTGACCAGCACAGGCTGCACAGCTCCTTTTATGTTCCAGCCCTGGTTGCTAATAGTCATGGGTACACACTTTTATGTGCTGACTCTTAGAAGCAGACAATGCTCATGCTAAATAGTTGGCCTGTTAAGTAATCAGTCACGAATGAGAATCAGCTAAAAAGCTCTATTTACCTCTCCTTCTGCATTCATTTTGCTTGGATCCCATGTCATGTCTCCTGTGCCTGTGCCATGCTCAGGCCCCACCACATCCAGCACCTGGGATTGGTATGCAGGGGACAGTTGGCAGCAAGAGAGACCTGTGTCAACTTTTACCTCATTGCAGGAGAAACCTTAACACTGGAGGTGAATTTGATTCCAGAAATATAGGGAATCACAGTGAACAAAATAAAAATCTGTGGATATCTTTTAACCTGAACCTGTCCCCCCTCTCTTTCTCACCAGCTGCACTATATTATGAAGTTTTCTGCATCTTTACCTACTGTCAATCAATTTTTCTTGGTGCTTCTAAAATGTTGGCCCATTGAATCCCTGGAAAACCATGTGCTTTGGGTGTATTTGCTCATTCCTATGCCTCATCTTCTCCACGTACA